ACATATATATACATATATATATAATGGAATATCACTCAGTCATAAAAAAGAATGAAATCTTGCCATTTGTGGCAACATGGCTGAACCCAGAGGGTATTAAGTTAAGTGCGACAGAGAAAGACAAATAATGTATGACTTCACTTATATGTGGAATCTAAAAAAACAAAACAAATATATGAAAACAAACAGGTGGTTGCCAGAGGGGAGGGGATCTGGGGACTGTACGAAATAGATGAGGAGAATTAAGAGGTACAAACTTACAGTTGCAAAATAAATGAGTCATGGGAATGAAATGTACAGCATGGGGAATATAGTCAATAATAATGTAGTATCTTTGTAGGATGATGATGGCAGTCAAAAGGTACAAACTTCCAGTTATAAGATAAATAAGTACCACGGATGTAATGTAAATCAGGATTAATATCAATATAATTAACACTGCTCTGTTATATATGAAAATTGTTAAGAGAATAAATCCTGAGTTCCCATCACAAGGAAATTTTTTCTTTTATTTTATATTTATATGAGATGATAGATAGTCACTAAACTTATCATGGCAATTATTTCATGATGTATATAAGCAAATCATTATCCTATACACCTTACATTTGTATAATGCTGTATGTCAATTATTCCCCAATAAAACTGGAAGGAAAAAAAAAAGTAGTCAGTCCCCTGTCTGCTGTCTAGAATCATTTTTAGGCATCCTGATTCAGTTTCATAGTATTATTAACAAATTACTATGCTTAAACATTTTAGAGTAAATCTCTTTTTGCAGGTTCACGTGATAATTCAATCATCTTGTATAAAGAGGACTTCTGAAATTAAAATTTTTGGAGTGTTCACACCATATGCCATGCCCTCTGCTAGATAGACATTTTATAAACATATCCAATTTAATCCTCATTTGAAAAAACACAAACAACAAAAATCTTATAGGGTGATTAATATTGTACTCATTTAATGATGTGGAAAACAAGGCTAGATAAATAAGTAATTTGCCCAAGGCCTCCAAATTAGTATAGCCTTGAGTTTTAAACAAACAGTGTACATGTAAACGTTCATGACTTATCATTGCCAGAGACTGCTTATTGTTCCACAGCATCGCATTTTTCTTTTTCTTGATAGTATAATATTCAACTGGGTATTTGTTGCCCCAACAGACTACATTTTTTGCAGATCCCCTCCAGCTATTGTGTGGGTATATGACCAAATCTAGCCTAAGTTATGCACACAATTTCTGGGTTGTGCCTTATATTCTTCTTTCCTAAGGATGGAGTTAGGATGTAATGGCAAGAGCAAAGCAGCCATACTAAACCACGGAAACCCTGTTTTGAAAATGGCTGAAAACAAGATATAAGCAAACTTTGTCTCCAACAGTATTAAGCTGATGGAACAATCTTGGACAGACTACCTAGATGTTTCTATTTGTGTAAGTTCTTGTATCTTTGTGTATATTTGTCTTTTATAATATGTGTAGTGTAACTCTTTGGTAAAATAGCCTGATGATACAGCATAAGTAATGTATCATCGTTCATATTTTTCTTGTAGGTAACCCAACCATCAATGGTGAATTTGAATAAGACTTATTCTACCTTACTATGATGATCATGATTTATGAAGACATTTTGCTTGTAATGCTAGAGAAGAATACACAAAGAAATCAAACTTCAGTTTTTCCATCCTTGATATTATAATTTTAAAACATATTAATGTAAATGTATTGAGTACGTGTGATTAAAAACAATAACATTTTATGTACCTAAACTAACTCTATATTATAAATGCACGTTAAAAGGTAGACTCATATCCACGTATTGGTGACAGCTTTAACATTAGATAGTATCTGTCAAAACTACCACTCAAATGTCTAAAGTTTAAACATACATACACACAACAATAACAAAGTAACTATAATTGCAAATAAAACAAAAAGTGAAACACAAATGATTAAAGTGACAAATAAACTGCATAACAGAAATTACATATAGATCATGAAAACCCTTTATCTAGCAGAGCACTGTGGCATAAGAAAGTGGCAAAATTTGTGTAGTTGTTTCCTTTGAAAATAAAAATTACTCAAGAAATAGATGTATAGGCAGAAAGTAACAGCAAATAGAGAGCCCATTGTGGGTAGTTCACTGTGATGAGGATGCCTCCAGAACCAAAGTACTGGACTAAGTGTTATCATACAAATATAATCTGTCCTTACTTTTGCATTAAAATTTCAATTACCTCTTTAGCAAATTTACTTTAACAGACCCCCTTATTATTTAGACTCATTCATTTTACTTTTTGTAATTTTCCAGTAATTGAGAAAGTAGCATGTGCATAGGTATATAAAAATTTTAATTTTAAATAATACTTTTCCTTAAAATGAGAAAATTCCTAAATTATCTAAATTATGTATCTTAAAATTAAGAACTTTTTGTGACATTAGAAGAGAAGGCATTACTGTTAGTATTTCAAATTTATGCAGTTAGATATTTACTAGGTAAATAATAAAAACAATTTGTGAAGAGTAAAAAAAAATTAAATGATAAGATGGCATTGTGTCCATTTTAAAGGGGTATTTTATGTTTAAAGGCATGGAATATCCTAAAATGTTTGCTTTTTAAATATAAAAGTATGGAATAAAACATATTCAAATCCATTTAAAAGAGGTATTAATTGCATACTACTTAGGTGTAATAGTTGTTATATTGCTGTACCTACAACTATATTTACATACATATATCTATAGCTATACCTTAATCTAAAAATAGTATTGTACTAGTGATGAAGGCATTCTTCCTATTGTAGTACTTCCTAATTAGCTTTTTCTCTTTCTCAGTAGGTCGAATCCAGGTCAGAGCACAAATACACATAATTAAGTTGAAAAACAGACATATCATTCTACCTCATTTTTTGATTTTCACATTTTTTTTTCTCTAGTAAGGCTCTGCATGAATCCATATGGGCAGTGCATCATTTCTCATTCCAAAAGAAGAAATACTGCTCAACATCACTAAGCATTAGACAAATGCAAATCATAACTACAATGAGGTATCACCTCACACCAGTCAGAATGGCCACCATCAAAAAATCTACAAACAATAAACGCTGGAGAGGGTGTGGAGAAAAGGGAACCCTCTTGCACTCTTGGTGGGAATGTAAATTGATACAGCCACTATGGAGAACAGTATGGAGGTTCCTTAAAAAACTAAAAATAGAACTACCATACGACCCAGCAATCCCACTACTGGGCATATACCCTGAGAAAACCATAATTCCAAAAGAGTCATGTACCACAATGTTCATTGCAACTCTATTTACAAAATAGTCAGGACATGGAAGCAACCTAAGTGTTCATTGACAGAGGAATGGATAAAGAAGACGTGGCACATATATACAATGGAATATTACTCAGCCATAAAAAGAGACGAAATTGAGCTATTTGTAATGAGGTGGATAGACCTAGAGTCTGTCATACAGAGTGAAGTAAGTCAGAAAGAGAGAGACAAATACCGTATGCTAACACATATATATGGAATTTAAAAAAAAAAATGTCATGAAAAACCTAGGGGTGAAACAGGAATAAAGACACAGACTTACTAGAGAATGGACTTGAGGCTATGGGGAGGGGGAAGTGTAAACGGTGACAAAGCGATAAAGAGGCATGGACATATATACACTACCAAACGTAAGGTAGATAGCTAGTGGGAAGCAGCCGCATAGCACAGGGAGATCAGCTCGGTGCTTTGTGACCGCCTGGAGGGGTGGGATAGGGAGGGTGGGAGGGAGGGAGACGCAAGCGGGAAGAGATATGGGAATATATGTATATATATAACTGATTCATTTTGTTGTGAAGCTGAAACTAACATACCATTGTAAAGCAATTATACTCCAATAAAGATGTTAAAAAACAAAAAAAAAAAACAAAACAAAAAAAAAGAAGATGTGGCAATATATACAATGGAATATTACTCAGCCATAAAAAGAAACGAAATTGAGTTACTTGTAGTGAGATGGATGGACCTAGAGTCTGTCATACATAGTGAAGTAAGTCAGAAATAGAAAAACAAATACCGTATGCTAATACATATATATGGTATCTAAAAAAAAAAAATGGTTATGAAGAACCTAGGGGCAGGACAGGAATAAAGACGCAGATGTAGAGAATGGACTTGAGGACACGGGGAGGGGGAAGGGTAAGCTGTGACAAAGTGAGAGAGTGGCATGGACATATATACACTACCAAATGTAAAATAGCTAGCTAGTGGGAAGCAGCTACATGGCACAGGGAGATCAGCTCGGTGCTTTGTGACCACCTACAATGATAGGATAGGGAGGGTGGGAGGGAGATGGGAGAGGGAGGAGATATGGGAACATATGTATATGTATAGCTGATTCACTTTGTTATACAGCAGAAACTAACACACCATTGTAAAGCAATTATACTCCAATAAAGATGTTTAAAAAAATAAAAAACTAGTTCATGAAAAAAAAAAAAACTGTTTTCTATAATAAAGCAATGTACCAGTTGCCTCCCACTGTCCTGTCTGCCCTCGCTTTCTGCCTGGATGCCTGAGAGAACATCGGGGGAGGAGGGGTAGGCAGACAGGGATGGGCAGGGACAGTGTTCTCAACAGCAGTTCTGCTTTGAAGATTATGGAAAGATGAGGGCACCCCCATGCCAGCAGTTTGAAGGAAAAATTATTGTTTGACAACTGTGGCCTGCAGTACAAATTCTTGTGATCTGGTTGTTTACAGCATTTAGGAAAACCTCAGAGCTGCAGTAAATATCAATACCAAATGGTTGACGTGCTTTCTTGTTTTTTTCCTTAAGACTGAAGTAAGGATTTTACTTCTATTTCTATAGGTGACCGTTACTTTTTATAGTGAATATTTATCTATTCATTTACTGTAGCCAAATCTTAATGAAAGTGGTTTATTATATGTTTTTGTAGAACTATAATTAAAACAAAACATAATAAAAATGCTGATATGTATGATCTTACCAGGTGAAGATAAGGCATAGTAATGTAGATATTAAAATCAAAACTTGATTAAACATTGCAGACTGTGTACGCTGAATGGCTCTGTGTAGATCATTCTGAAATAATACAGAACAAGCATATTTTAAATTTTGATAGATACTACATATTCATGAGTTTTGTTACATTTATTACTATGTATTACATTTCAACTATCTTGTGCATACTCAACACACATACTTTAAATGGATATAGCAGCATATTTTCGTTTTTGCCTTGGTCTATATAACCTTACTGTAACATTCATATTACCAAGATAATACTATGGGAGACCACCAAAGCACCAAATTTTAGTTTACTCGCCTTACAAACATCTGTAGAGTTGTTACACTGACTCCCCAAAAGCCCTCCACGGTGAGTATGCTCTCTTGTGGAAAATTCTAATTTTAAAAGATCAGAAAATAATATGTTCAATTAAGGGGAAAGTAATAGCTGGATCAAACTACAACCATATCTCATTCTCTGAATCAGGAAAAATAACATGAATTATGCCAGGTGATTTATCATAAAAATAAAAAATTATATAGCCAATGAACATTTTTAGATTAATTTCATTCATATTAAGAGAAATGTGAATTCAAGATATAATTTTATTTTCCAATTGAAAAACATTGAAGATAATAATACCCACTGTTATTTAATATGCAAAAAACAAGCACTCATATATAATACTGCTCATGTAATTTGTTATAAATTTCTTGAAAGTAATTTGGTAATACAAGTCAAAATTCACAAAGGTATGCCCTTTCTACTTCATGGTTTCATTCATTTAATTAGTATTTACCCCATAACATAATTTCTAAAAGCTAACCACATGAAAATTATGAGATGGAAATCAAATACTTATGTATGTTCATCTTTATTACAAAATTATAAGATTTTTACGTGAAATAATGAATGTCCATTACTATTAAAGTAACTAAAAATGCAATAGAAAAATGGTTAAATAAATTGATCAAAACTAGATAGCAGATTTAATGCATCCATTAAAAATGGTTTGAACAGGAATATTTAATGACATAGGAACCTGTCCACCACATACTATTATATGAAAAAAAATTTAAATTATAAAATTAAACATACTATTTTGTGTGTGTGTGTTTTCATAGAAAATATTAGAAGAATATAAGTTATTACTAGTGCTTAGTCTGTGTGGAAGGTTTGTAGTTTTGCATAATGTTTTATTTTATGGTTTCCTGTTGTATAAATTTTTTATAGTAACATTTTAACAGTCTGCATATCAGGACTGCGTGAGATAGATAACTTCATCAATACAAGCAAAGTCTCAATGAGTCATAGTTTATCTTTCTCTACCACACATTTAACCAAAACTGTAACAAAAACAAACTAAGTTGACTAGAATTTCACCTCGCATCTCTTACTTTCTTCTAACAGAGGTGTTAATGAACAGAAAAATAAATTAAAATTTAGCAACCAGGAAGAGGAGAAGTAAAATATAGAGCTATGATGGAAAATGAATCCTAAATTAACAATGCAAGCACTACTTCTACTCTCAACGATTGACTAATAATTCTTCTCTTGGTTAGGTTACTTTTTCCAACAGCTAATAAATGCAAATTAGCAAAGACGTTTATTTTTTTTTCCCTGGAGTATTTTTTTTTTCATTAGGAATTTAGGCAATCTATATTTAGTGAAATAGTATTTTTTTGGACAGTTAAGACAGACTGATGTTTCCACAAACCATCCACAGGCTACAGTCTCCCCTTCTTAGTCATGAACTTTCATGAGGCTCCAGTGGTTACTTAACACAGATGTTTAGAAATATTCATCTGGTTGTGAATATTCAAATGTTATCCAGATATTCCTTTTGGCCACAACTTGTGTCATAATTTCTGTTAAAAAGCTATTTACATTGTAAAGCAATTATACTCCAATAAAGATGTTAAAAAAAAAAAAGCTATTTAAGAGAAAAGCAAGTTTGCCTCCAAACAAATTTAATTTCTGTGTGATAAAATTAATAATATTGAGCCCTTACTATGTTTATGCCAGATACAAGATTTTACACATACATATATATGCATGTATATATAATTTCATTTAATTCTCACAGCAAGCCTGTATGTAGGTACTTTTATTCTCTTGTGAAGATGAAGACATTAGCAAAGAAGTTGAATCATTTGCTTATCTTTAACACAGAGTGGACTCCTATTAACACCTGTAGAATAAATGACCAAGCAGCAAGCTCACTCATAAGTGTCCAAGTCCATTAGAGCAAAGAGATTTTGGTCATAGTTATAAATCAGTCCTTCTGAACAGGGTCAGCCTTGGGCAAAATGCAACTGTGGCACATCTCTTCTTTCCTGCTTCCCCTTCTCCCTCCTAATATCCTACTCCCAACCCAACCCAGCCTAAAAAGGTGACTTTACATGAGGGCCTTCTGGCTGCAATACAGGGTCTTACAAAAGCCTATAGATTTTTATGGACTGTGAGACTACCTACAGTTAAGAACAGTTTAACAATGTTACCTCCTGAAGCCTTAAAACCAGGGGTCCCGTTATACATCAAGAGATTGCCTTAGAAGGGAAGGCTGTTTGTCTTCAGGAAATTGGCTAACTAGTTGGACCAGTCCGAACAGCAGTTAGCTTTGGTTTGGTGATATTTGGAATATCTGAACTATTTTTGTTTACCAGCTCATAGGGCCTTATGAAGGAAGGGACTTGGCAATATGGGCATTTTATGACTTTTCATTCTCATTAGGGTATAAGCAGACTTGGGATCTATTAGCTTAGACAGTTATGCAACACATCACTTTAATGAGGTAAGAAATAATGGAGTGTTGAAAAATATTTTTGTCTTTACACTTGTCTTTTATACTTACAATCATATTTTCCAAGGCATGTTTGGCAAGCCAACAGTTTAGAAAGACTGGGACAAATAGATTTCTTAAGGAAGGCCAGAATATCTGGAAAACAAATCAAAACTAAACTTTTATCTCAAAGCAAGAAATCGATATGATTGAGAAGAAATGTGAAACAGAAATAAGTTATTAAAAACAATAGAATGATCTAAAACATGTGGCAAATACTTTAAACTCATATGACTATTGAAATGCAAGGAGCAGACAGGATCTTTCCATTCATTCTCTAAGTCTTACTTAAGGAAAAATTCTTCGGAAAATTATTGTAGAAGCAGAATGAAAATAATCAGCCCTCACTGGATGTCAGCTATAATGTGCTAATTAGATCACTAAATCTTTTAGTGTGACAGTTTATAATAGACATCACCTCTTTCTTTCCTGCAGCTGGAAGTAAAAAGTAGATGTAAGGAGACAGAGCTTTAGTTTTTCATAGCATCACCACTTAGTCTCTGCAGATGCAAACATTCTTACTGACTTTGGGGAACTGTACTCCACTGGAATTATGTTGAATTAGCCATTCAATCTGGGGCCAGTTGTTCCTCTAGATAAATCACTCAAATTAAAATAATTGTCAGAACTGAGCAACAGCCTCAGATCATATTGACTTCTTTTCATAATTTTCCAAATAAAATTCAAACAAATAAGGTTTAGAAAGCATATTACCAACAGATATTACTGTAACTTTATCAAATAGAGATTAAGACCTAATTTTGCAATGGGAACGTGCTAGTTACATACTTTGTAGTTAAAACAGGATCACTGTGGAATTGGTCCTCCACAGACTTTGATAAAGAAGCAAATTACTAGTTGTCTGGCTGATGGCAACTTTCTTAGTAAAAAGAGAACTGGACTTAGGAAATCCTATGGTTAAGCTCGAGATAAACATATTCTTAGCATGAGAAACCTTTATAAATACTTGGTTTTACTTGGTTTCTATTTTTTTTTAATTCCACAATATACACAAGAAATGGAATGATTAATTTCTGGTCTGTTTAGACAATATTGACACTTGTTAAAATGGCACCTCTAGAGCATATATTTCTAAAAGCATTTCATTTTGCAATTGTACTAAATCTCATTAATTTTCACTTAATTTCACAATCCAGTTACCCAACTGATTTTACTATTTATTTTTTAATACCATGATTTAAAACAATAACAAAGTCTAAATTCATCCATCTGAGCTAATATGTTATCTATTACTATTTAGATTTAAAGACTTTATGTCTAATTAAAAACATTTCTTTTAAAGATTCTTTTAGGACTTACTGAGATAATGAAGGGAACCGCATTAATTACTTCCAAGATGAAGGGTATTCGTAAAATCTGTTCCCAGATGTTTCCCTTCCAAGAAAGAATGAGTAAAAATGAAAGTCAATTATAACTGAATCCCATTAAAGGGGGAAAAAGACAGCATCAGAATTTCTCTAGCAATAAGTATGTTTATATTAATAGAATACCAAATTATTATTTAGAAATGTAGCAATGACTTTTAGAGATTATTTTGCTGAATGTAATTGTGCCCTCTCAATTTTGTAGTCAGTGTAAGAAGTAAAACAAATGTTTGTAGTAATCCTTGAATATTGCATATAACACATTTTAATCATAACATATTTCATGGAAGAAAAGTTACTAGTAAAAATAAAACACATTAAAAAACCTTACAGAATCAATGAAAAAGCGACTCAATCTTAATTTTTTTACTATAATAATTACATTCACAAACTTTAAAGCATATCAAATAGTTCGCAAACACAAACATATAACAATGTTCCTTGGAATTAACATTGTTTTTAGATTAATAAAATTTAAAGGGAGGATTTTCTCAATCTTCTGGATTCTAATTTTCCAACCCACATAGTGCAACAATATTAATCAGGCCTGGCTACCTAATTTGTGGGGCTAAGGGCAAAATGAAAATGCAGGGCCTCTTAGCAGGGCCTCTTATTAACAAATTATGAAGAATTTCAAGAAGGTGACATCAGAGCATTAAAACAAGCACAGGCCCTTCTAATTGTGCAGCTCTGGGCAACTGCACTGGCTAACAGGTCATTCCTGAAACTTTCTTGAACGGTGTCTAGCAAAAAAGAACTCAGAACTTCCTAAAGCAGTTTATTCGTCTATGAAAACAAGAACTACCCATTAGTAAGGCAATTTGAAATCTGACTCCCTGTAATGTCTAATTATTTTGTGACACTGGCTATAATATTGGGATTCTTTATTTTTCTTGAGGTCCCAAAGCCTTAAAACATTACAATGATATAAAACACCTCCACTTCACAAGGCAAGGTCTAGATCAGCAATCATCTGTGTGCTAAAGAGGTTTTGTTATCATTAGTTCATCACCCGTCTGCAAGCTGTATAAAGAGTGGAGGAGGGAGCAGGTGGAAGAAACAGAAGCAATGAGACCTCCTCTGTGTAGAGATACAAGGGTGCTGTGTTACTTCCCTCACCACATCCAGCTCAGTGAGGAGAGCTCGGGTGAACGACCCAGACAGCTGTGCTCAGACATGGGGGCTGCATTTGGCCAATGCTTAAAACATCATCAAAAAACAGCAGAGCAAAGACAAAGAGAGTTGAGATGAGAACAGGCCATACTTATGCCAATCCTAAGAGGTACTTATTTTCTGCAGATGAGATATAGACCCTAAAGAATGAAACTTATGGCCATTCTAAGTTCACACTCAGGAGGGCTGTGTTCCTAAGGGGACATGGAACCGTGACAGACGGTGGCCCTCAGGACCCCAGGGCCTGGGTCAGAGCCCTAATGGCCAGCCTGAGGCTTGAGGCATCAAGGAGCTTTGGCCAAAGGCCTCAGGAGAACTACAAAAGCCCCGTTTGGACCTGCCATCAGAGCAACCCAACCGCAGACTGTTCTTGTGCCAGTAAGGCAACTTTGTCCCAGAAGCTGACCTCACTCCTCCCCATGCCTCCTCAGCCCTGAGGGACCAAAATCAGCTGGTGTCAAATAAGGGAGGAGGGGAAAAGAGGAGATGGCCCCCAAGATGATCCCCTGCCCCATGTGGTTCCAGGCCAAGAAAAAGTTAAAACTGGATAAGAATTTTAAATTTTTACATACTGATCATAATTTCTTAAGTACTAAACTGAGATTTGCATTGCGATTGAAAAGTCTAAAAAAGCTAAGATACCTGCCCAAGACTTCATCTGATGAGCATGGCTCATAAGGAAAATGACTGGATTTGAAGGAGAAATGCAGGAAGACTAAAGCCTTTTCCTACTTGCACTGAGTCAGGCCTACCTATTCAACAAACCATTTATAATTGATTTTAATTATGTGAAGCTCCTATTTTTTATTGTGCAGGTTAACATTACCATTTCTTTCATCAGTTTTTTATATGACTCAGTTTCCAGAATGTTTAACACTTGGCTTACTCTTTCTCTACTGTGTTTTTACTTGTCATGTACATCGTTCCTTGATGTCAATGATTCTGCACAGGAAAAGAGACCGATGTGACCAGAAGAAGACGGCAGGGTGGAGTGGGGAGGGGTATGAGTACAGTCACCACTGGTCATACGGCAGGATCTTTCTACGAATACACAGCAAGATTAGTTGGTTTTCTTAGCTGTGGCACACTGGAAAGTTTAGCTCGTAGTAAACCAAAAGTCTTTCTATCTCTAATGTCCCTCTTCATTTCCATTTATAACACACCAATTTGATTTTTATGATTTTTTCTCAAACCAGTAAAAGAGTCTCATGACTGGTATGTGACTTGGTTGGGTTCCCTTCCGATTTACCTTCCATATTAAAGCCAGAGAATTCTTTCTAAAATGCCAAATTTCCATTGCCATCATATTAACATCCAAACTCCTCATTACATCATATGAAGCTTCATAACTTGGACTCTGGCTACTGGTTTGGTTTGTACCTACTACATTCCTAGCCCACCTTGAATTCAGCTACAGATACATCACATGTAAAACTGATTTTGAGGCAGTTCTCTGAACACACTACGCTATTTCATACTTTTACAACTTTGCTCACATACTTCTCCCTCTGCTTGGAATGTCTCAGTCCCCATACCTTCACCACTAACTACCTGGATATATCTTTGTAACATTTTATAAAACTTATTTGTTTATATGACATTTGGACTCAATAAGCATGTGAATGAATAGATGAAACTTTCAAATATCTTATACATATTCTTCCCTTCTTGGTATAATTAATTTTTGACCTTAAACATTTATATTTCTTTCTATTGGATCCAAATGGAAACCCCTGAAAGAATATTATTGTTTAAAGCCTTCCTGGTGCAATTATAAATAAGTTGTTAAACTTATGGCCACAAAGCTCAACAGGTTTTCTGGAAGAAAGCATTTCAAGAGTACTTGGCTATATACCCATCTTAGGTAATCTCATCTATGTGTCAACTTCAACATATCGTCAATAATAAACCAATGACTTCCAATGTTGTATCTCTAGCTGAGATCAATATTCTATCTGAGAATCTCTTTCAGATCTCCACTGCCTAATCCACTGCTTCACACAGATGCCTCAAAGGCACCCTGTGGGTAATATGTCTAAAAGTAAAATTTAAACGACAATGAAAACAAGACAATCCGAAACCTATGGGATGCAGAAAAAGCACTTCTAAGAGGGAAGTTTATAGCAATACAATCCTACCTCAAGAAACAAGAAAAATCTCAAAAAACAACCTATCCTTATACCTAAAGCAACCAGAGAAAGAAGAACAAACAAAACCCAAAGATAGTAGAAGGAAAGAAATCATAAAGATCGAAATAAATGAAATAGAGACGACTCATCTTGATGACTCAGACTCATCAAGAAAAAAAGGGAGAGGATTCAAATCAATAAAATTAGAAATGAAAAAAGAGAAGTTACAACAGACACCACAGAAATACAAAGGATCATAAGAGACTAACAAGCAACTCTATGCCAATAAAATAGACTACCTAAAAGTAAAATTTATGATGTTTGCCCTGACTGGTTCTCCAGTAACAGAAACCAAAAGTTCTGGAGAAACTCTTTACACCTTCTTTTCACATGCTAAACAAGAATAATTTGACAGTAAGACTTCCTGATTCATATATGGACCTTGAGTCCTCTGGTTCTCATTCTAATGCTAATCCCACTCCAGCCTCCTAACCGGTCTCCTCCCCTTCCTTCTTGCCCCATTCCCATCCAACTCCCACAATGTTACCAGGAATATGTTTCTAAGGCACATCTCATGTGCCAATCCCTACCCCTCACCCCACGCCACCCCCACTCACTTTGTAACTCTTGAACAATTCAGACACTTGCACAGCGAAACACAGATTCTATTACAACCTACAAAAGGCAACAAATCGTTTAGCTCTCCTTGTCCTCTCCCCGCGAATTTTAAAGATCATTCTTTCCTAAGACGTTCCACTCCTTATATATGCCAGGGCCTTGGCACGTGCTTTTTAAGAGACTTGGAAAGTCTCCACCTTCCTTTCCAATTTCCCTTTGTCTAGTTAATTCACACACATCTTTCAGCTCTTAACTCAAAATCTTTTGAGTGTTTTGAGGCTTTCCTTGCCCCCTCATTGCACACACACCAGACAAGATCAGATTCCCACACTAGGTTTTTCTATCTTCATCAACATCCTTCTCATTCCTTTTTTTGTTTGTTTTTATATATCTAATCAACACTTGATTTTAATGTCATGAGGTCCAGGTGAGAGCATCTGTTTAGTTCGGGATTCTTTGCTCTGTTCCTAGCACAGTCCTTGACAGCCTGAAGCTCCTCAATAAAAACTAGAACTGCATTATGTCAAACACGCTCCTGTGGATTCATAGCTAATGTGTGTGTATTTGTGTGTTGTAGCAAAAAAGGAATTTCCTCCTGAGGACTAATTTTCACAATATAAAATTATACAGGGAGGCAATGTACTCATTGCTAAAAATAAGCGAATAACTTTTCGATTATATTCATTAGGTTTAATTCTAAGATCTCAGGTTGTCTTCTGAACATTCATAAATTATCTCCCCTAAGATAAGCTGACGAAAAATAGAAAAATTATCCAAAAGTTGCATTGGCTATTAGAGAGTCCCCATCGGCCTGCATCATATAAATCCACATGATAAAAGTAATTATGGTGGAAAAAGAAAGCCTAAATCTGGAGAATGCGGCTACATAGAGAAGCATGAAATAAGATCCAAAAGGCAGGCACATGCCTTTCAAAATTAAGTTAAATACCTGTTTCACTTAATCTTATTTTCCTGAACGAGATGAAAGGCATTAGTCTCCTTCCAAATGGTAACCTAAAGAAAAAAAGTTTCTAAAAAGTAGGTTTTTCTGTTCTAAGCGTGTAGAGCTCTCTGTGTTCCTCTCCTTATTGACAGAATTCAGTAAAATATAAATAAAACCTAATCTAACCATTCTACAACATTTGGTATGGATGTAACCTTCCTTAACCAATAAAAATGCAGGACAACAGGTGATTTTCTAAGATGTACCAGGCTTTTATTTTTATCATAAAAGAAAGTGCAAGTTTGGAACTATTATCTAGGTAACTCTAAAAAGCACTTTAAAAATTATAAGATTTATGGTAATTTAGTTGTTAGCCCAGGATGGAACATGGGACTTTTAAAAAGCATTTTCTTCTATAATATTAAGAATACCTATATTTAAAATATTTAACCAAAAAGACTAATAACTTACTTTCCTTCAGTGAGTTTAAATTATGGAGTAACCCTGTGGCAGTCTTTTGTATTTCTGAATGTAAACTCAACAACATTTAGATTTACCATTTCCATGGCATGGTAAGCAGAATCACCAGGATCTAGGCGTCCTAGTCCAAATCCTTTGTTCTTTCCAGAAATAAGCCCATCATGATGTTAACATTTCAAAACTGTTGCTTTTTCATAAAGCGATTACTGTATAGGAAAAAGAATTGTAGATTTAACCAAAGCCTTCTAGGTGTGCTGAACTTTTGTTTTCAGAGATTTGGAAATTATGCCAGGGTGTGTTTTTGTTTCCTTTTGAGTTAATGAATGTATGTGTATAAATAGAGTTCTATTTTGAAAGCAGCTGATAAAGACATAGAGGGTATCTATCTGACAGAAGAATAAGAACTTCCCTGTTGGGCAATCCCTGTGACTATTTTGACAAACAGCGATAAATAAACATGAATTGAATGATGATTTAACTTCAGACCTGCAATTCTGTATGACAGAGGACAAAATAAGTGGATGTCAGGGATTTGTAAGTTATTATCTGCTAACCTCAACATACACTTTTAAGAGTTTTTGCTCATTTTGCTTTTACTCATTAGTCTTTTGATTTAAAAAAAACTATAGTCTCCATGATAGTTAAAACTTTTTTAATTGTTAAGGATTAAGTCATGCTTATTTTAGAAAGTCTAATTTTAAGAACTATAAAGTACTTACAAATAAAGTATTAAATTTATTTTAAAATATCACATATATACATATATGTTGTATATGTAAATATATACATTATCTGTATATATATATGCAGATGTAAACAAACATGAGAAAATTGTATGTTGATTTGCTATGGATATTTCAGAACTAGAAATATCAAAGAGCAATATTAGAAATGGATTTCATTACTAATACAATATCCATTTCTGCATACCTATCTATAATTTTTCTTAAAAGTCTAATTTGAGAGAAGGACCTCATTTGAAGTTCTGCTGTATGGATTTGCATTATATATATGCCATAAATAGTTATCAATTATTTAATTTTTTCATTCCAAAAAATGTATCCAACAGTTTATTGAAAGGGTCAGAAGAGTTCATGAATTTGACTGAATATATGAAAGGAAAGAAGGTAATTAACAGCAACCTGTCCTTCCAATGTCACATAACTCCTTTTTATCTTTTGTGTTGTAACACACAGGACTCTCACCATGAACCTCTCCTCCATCTAGACATTAATGTTTATGAAGGTCAGAATGAAAATATTATATGTCATCTAGCTCTACCTGCTAGGTCTTTGCTCTCATTTTATAAATGGCAGGAATTAATTGATTACAAATATCAGCACCACATAATTACAATGGAAAATTATAATTCCACCTTGAATCTCTTCGTGCTTTTTAAATGACTACTATCAGCAAAGCACCAAAGTTAATTTCATATTACTTTTTAGTCTGAATTTGGAGCACATACATTCACCAATGCAGATTAATATTTTGGCTAGTTTATGCATTTGTACATACTCTTGTACTAGCGGAAGAGATTTCATTAAATTACAAAAAAACACCCACATGCCTAATTTTTTAGTATGTCACTTTTTGCGTATCATATTCAACATTTATCACATACTTGAATACTAAAGACCTTAGAAGATAACATCTTGGATGTTAATTTACTTGATTTTTATTTTATTCTTCTAGGTATCCAAAATCCAGATTTGTCAATCAGTACCTATTTATAGAGCACCTATTCTGACAAGAAGATATACTAATAAGCCATTAAAAGATCCCTCCTCAACATCTTATTCTATAGTGTCCATCACTACGCTAGTATTTTCTAAGTAATTTAGGATTAAGTGACCAGCTATGTGCAAGATCTTTCAGCTTCCTCCTCTAACTTCAAAATATTCTTTCAGGCACCATTTTCCATCTCCTGTGCTCTCAGAAAAGAACAGAATGTATCCAAAGCTACTTAGTAGTCCTCAACTTCCTGTTCTAGCTCATTCTTACTTTTTATAAACCTTGCTTCATCCATCGTTTTTTCCTGTCCCCTCTACTTGCTCTCTTTAAAAGATGCATATTTTTATCATCGTGAGGCAATCTTCCACCTCATTATATTGCCTCTAGGGAGCTCCTGTACCAGTCAATCAACATTCTTCATTTGACAATTTTACTCTCAACTGTATTCCATTGAAATTGGACTCTTAAGGGTGAATAACAAATGATCTCCCAAATTGTAAACCCAAAAGCCTTTCTCAAGCTTCTTAGTAAACTTTCCAAGGTTCCCATGCTTTCATTTAACACTTTTCTTCCCTAGACATTTCTAACATCCTATTTTTCTCATAAATATTAAATCAATCCATCTGTATTATTTTTGGAAGGCACTCACTCTTTTCTTTCTACACTTCCTAATTCATCAATCTCACCTTATTAGACACTGGCCTTATGTTCTTTAGGCGGAGTTAATGAGAGTTTTAAAAAGGAAGCCAGCGGAAAAGGTGAAAGAGTTTGTAAAGACTTCTTGCCCTAAATTTTGGATTAAAAAGTAGTCTAGGGAATGTTATCTTCAAAACCTTACGTTATGAAGTGAGAAAGAAATTTATATGGTAGATAAGAATTCCCCCAAAACAGAACCTTGAGTGCACTTGTTGACGTCGTACATGCAGAAACTGCGAACTGGAAATCCGTGCTGACTATGACAACCATTCTGATGACTTTCCACACTTCTCACCTATTCCTCTGTCTGTTCTCATTGCTCGGTTCTTCCTATGGACACACTATAAGCATCTTCATTAACGTGGGCCTTCTCTTCTCCATTGGCTACTATCCCATCCTTAATGGACTTGCATGCTTCCTTCATCATCTCTATGGAAATGACTGTCAATTCTTAATAAATCTCTCCTGCAAGTCCCAGATCCTCCTTTTCAATTGCCTGCATGTCACAGCTATTTGTCCAAAAATACCTCAGATTCATCATTTCCAAAACCATTTCCATTATTCCACCTATCTCGACCCCAGTCTGATTTTTTTCTTGATGTAACTTTTCTTGGTTTTACTGCCTTGTTCCCAGTCATTTGGATTTAGGAAATCTTAAAATGATTTTTGACATTTTCTTCTCCTCATCTATTTCAACTAATCAGTTGATGATTTCTTTAGTTTCTACCTTCATGACTTATCTTGCATTGAATGTATTCCTTTCACCCAGCCAAAGCTTCACTCGAAGTTTTCCTTTCATACTGCAAATGCATCTTAACTGAGCATGTAGTTTTCAGTGTCATGTCTCTTTGACCTGAGCTGCACAGATGTTCTGAACTAATACTCCTAAAACTTAGTTACAATTATAGAACTCTCATGTTCAACATCCTGCATCAACTTCCCACTGTAAGTTGCCGTACGAGGCCCTCACTATATCGTCCCATCTTTTTCCACCAATATTTTCCTACATATGCCATACTCTGCCCAAACCTAAGTACTTATTCATTCTTCCAATTTTATACGCACATTCCTTCTTTTATGCCTTTGCTGATTCTATAAATCCCTGATGTTCTGCCTTTTCATCTTTCTTTAGTAAAGTTACTGATTCAAGGACTCTGCTTAAATCAGTCTTTTCACCTCTCTCTATGAAGCCCCACAGGACTTTATTTGCACCTCATAGGAAGTACCTATTATTCGGCCTTGTATTATTATTGTCTATATAATTTTCTCCTGCCCACCCCCCTTTCTAGATTGTAAATTCACTGAGAAAAAAACAATGCACAGTGTGGTGCTCTTCATCAAATAAGAACTTAATAAACATTTGTTAAATTGGGTTAGCCAAGCAAACCTTCGCCAAAAATGAAGGGAATTCATTAAAATAATTCCTAACAGACATGTTTTTCTCCCTCAGTGTTTCCTGTACAGATCAGGAGAAGAGATGGAGAACAATGAAAAGCCAAACCATTCCATCTGCTTGTCTCATATGAGCATGCACGTAATGGGTAAATTAGCCCATGGGAATTAGCGAAGTATGTTTAAGCCACCAAGGAAAACATTACTATGTTACCACAGCTTTTCATCACATACTGGAGAGGTTCAAAATAGTTAAAGGGGTTTAAGAAGAGCTTGCTTTATCCCCAGAGTATGAATTATAAATAGAGGAATACTGGGTCAATGCTAGTAATGTGTTCTACCAGCAGAAAACTTCTAATTAAAATAACTTACCTTATAACTGAGATAACCAAGTAGTATTGTTTCAAAGAGACTTATCAATGCCACTGAAACCTAAAATATAAATTATACCTTAATGAGAAAATCCAACAAAATCAAAATATATATTCTGATTACAATACTTTTAACTTTATAAATATGTGCATATATGTGTGTATATGCATATATACTTATATATATATCATATATGATATGTGTGTATATATATATATATATATATATATATATATATGATATAGGAGGTGCTATGTGGCACTTTAATTTCTATATACAGGTGGTAGGCAGCAGGCTGTCCCAGGCACTACAGCTTAGTTTTTATAATTTCTAATACTCCTCAATAAATCTTTTTAAGTTTATTACCACAAATGTAAATGTGGGATTGGAACAGTCAGATGGCTGGAATCTTCACCATATGTAAAGAATAGGTTTTGTTTGTGTGTGTATTCTTAATACACACAATCACACACAACTGTCCCATCACAAATAATGCTCTCCCCCAGCCACACCACCACCATCTCAGTACACCCACCAAAAATGGCAGTTCCCTTCAGAAAATAAAAGAATACAAGCTTGGAGTTAAAGGATACTTTCCATCCTATCACCCACTTCAAACAAAATGAAACATCCTCAAACACTAAACAAAATAGTCCATGTCAGCACTTCAAGATACTTTCAGATTTTATTTGAATGGACTTCGCAGCCAATTCCCCTTCTGCCGCTGGACATGGGCATCCTGCAGTCCCCTAGACAAGCTTCCACTTTTCTCTCTATTCTCTACTCTTTATACAGTTTCCTCTGCTCAGCTACCAAAGAGCTATGATTGCAACAGAAAAAGTAACCAGTAAAGACATCCAAATTATTTTGTGTTAAAGACCCTAAGCACTTCAGGAGACAGGAATATAATCAAAATAAGCAAGCATCAACATGAAATAACTGAGGTAACAAATATATTTGTTCATAGATTTGTGAGAGTACAGTCAATCTGCATGAGAAAGGCAGATACCATAGAGTTTTAGATTCTGACTCCTGTTGGAATGAAAACTTTGATTTAGGTAAAATATAAGGAGAACTTTAAAACATATGAATGCATGACAATCTAAGTAAAATAAGTCCAGAAGTACATACAGTAGACAGATAGTAAAATAGAAATTTTTCACTTTTTCAATTTTCTCCACAAATTCTCTAAATCATAATCTCTTACTTTTTCTAGAGGTACACATTGTTAGATGATCTTGAGACCACTTTTAGCATGAATTGCCCAAAATCCTATGTGAAAATGAGTGTTTTTATTATTTTAGAATATCACTATCAGATAAAAAGTAATTTGAACAGATCAAAATATATTTCAAGGTCATATATAACTATTCATAAAAATATTAACTTACTTTACAAGTGTGTACGGCACTGAAATGAAAGTCAGTAAAAAAAAACATAAAACACAACTTGACTTCAATAAAATACAAAATATGCAGACATAGTAAAGACTTGATTCATAGTTATAATCACAATGCATACATAATTAAAATAATTCATTGTCACATATAAAATGTACAGACCTCACAATCAACCTGACTTTAAAAGACAACCCAAACATTTGATTTTAAAGTATTTTAAAGGTTGTTTATACACAGTGAGACTTGAGTCCTTCCATTTCTTCCAGACTCAACTGTTTTTAATCTTAGAGACTCTCCTCTTTGAATGATTTTTGCTTTTGAAAAACAATAGAAACTAAAAAGTATCTGCAGGAAAGAGACACGAGTAGAGGAGATGGGAAGTTGTAAAAAGTTTGCCTGGCATGAAATTCAACAAAAAAAGGAACAAAGATAGATCCAGAGGACTCCAGGGAACACCCCAACAATGTAGTTCAGACACACTGTGCTCCACAGGTTCCCTTACTCCTTCTTCAAGACTCCTTTTATTCCAGGGCACACTTTTTGTTTTATTTACAAAATTATCTGCTTAGGGACCAAGCTCTTCCTATTGGTAATATGAACTGTTTGTTCATTTCTTTATTCATTTAACAATTATTTATTGAGATTCTACCATGTTCCCAACATTGAGCACAAAAGGTAAAAAATGCAAACATGGTTATGGGCTTTTGATTAATTTTTCAAAGATGATATAACCTAAGACTTTAGGAATGCCTAAAGTAGTTTGGGGAACTTGTTGTGCCTTCAAACAAGGTTGGGTTTACTTTAGTTTCCTTCAGATCCTCAAAAGCTTTCTGAAGTCTAAACCTGATCGTGAGGAAATTCTCAAAAGGTAGAATGGAGGGCTCACGTAGACATGAAGAAAGGAATAATAATTTTAAGATGTGCATCAAGATTAATTAAACAATAAACGAAAACTCATTTTTAATGTCAAAACTTTTCTCCCCAGTAGTATTGCTCAGTAAAATATAAATAAATCCAGAAATACAGGAATACAACAAAATTGTACATAACCTGTAAGCCCCATAAAGGTAGACTTCTGTTCACCCAAAAGATATGAGACCTATGAAAAGAATAATAAGACATTAGTTTTTTTTTAATGAAAAAAGCATTCATTTTCACATTTTCACTAAAGTTGGAAATATTTAAATGTTGTTACCATAAAAAAACAATAAAATACCATAACTAAAATTAGAAAAAAAATCTTACATTGCTTCAATTTTCTTTTTGGTAATACTCATCTCTGTTCCAGGAAAAAAAAAAACCTTTTTAATTTTGTTTTCGGTCTCATGTTAATCATGTAAGAAAAGACAATGGGCCCTTATTTAAGGAGTGAGGATAGCCAGGGTAGAAAAACTCAAACCACCTGCTAATCAACTCTCCATTGAAAAGCCACTTAAGGCTCTTCCATAAACTCTAGGACTTTGTTATTTTTAACACAATATATCGGCAACACACATTCAACAGTTGAAATAATCAGAAGAAAGTCAGTGACTCAGATTGCAGAGCACATTTATATTCAGATTTGAATCTTTATAAAATATTTAATATATCACCCAAAAACCTGTGACTGAGGTTAGCATAAAACATTATGCAGGGGCTTCCCTGGTGGCACAGTGGTTGAGGGTCCGCCTGCCGATGCAGGGGACACGGGTTCGTGCCCCGATCCGGGAAGATCCCACATGCCGCGGAGCGGCTGGGCCTGTGAGCCATGGCCGCTGAGCCTGCGCGTCCGGAGCCTGTGCTCCGCAATGAGAGAGGCCACAACAGTGAGAGGCCCGCGTACCGCAAAAACAAAACAAAACAAAACAAAAAAACATTATGCAGGACAAGGAGTAATTGTCCTTAAATGTCTCTTAAAAATCCTATTATCTCTGACGTTAACAATTGTTTATAGTCTGCAAAGAACACCATACATTCTAATGTCCTACTAGTTATAATTTCTCACTGTTTATACCTCACCCTTACCTACATCATTTGGTGTACAGTTGATTCAAATACTAGTCATTCACAGCAATACACTCTACTTAGGAAAAGATGAAAATAGCTGTATTACGCTGCCCAAAATATGCAAATAAAAAACATACAAAGCAGAACAAAGCCTACTCACTAGACTTAGGAAGTATTCGAGGAATCCCATAAAAGACTGTGTATTTTTAAATCTTTGAATCATTTTCTTTTTCATAATATGTTAAACAAAAATAAAGGGCAAGAAACTCTTTAAAATTCTTGTTTTAAAGAGAATTGCAAACTTTAGAAAACTATTCAAAGAAATTACCAAGCATATTAGACTAAAGTACTCTTTGTGATTCTAGAATGTAACATCTACCTGGGTGATTAACATCTTCAGTTGCTCCAAAACAAACCCGTGACCTTTCTCACCAAAACAGGTCCTCTCAGGTTTTCGCATCTCAGTAAATGGAACCAAATTCCATTGTGTTTGGTTAGCCGAAGACTTAGGCATCGTCTTAGATGCTTTCCTCTCCTCTATTTGTAAATACTTAATACATGAGTCACCAAACCTTTTCAATTCTTCCCACCAAATATCTGTAGACTGTATCTACCTCTCTTCATCTCCACTACCACAGCCACCTTAACCTAAATTAATCATTTTTTGCAACTGGACTCTTGCAAAAGCCTGCAACTGGACCCCTAAACCTCCTTTTGCCTTCTACAGTTTTTCTCCAAATTACAACTACAGAGATTCTTTCTAAATGCACATCATCACATCACTCCACTGTGTATTTTTTTAAAGCATTTCCTTTTTTAAAAAAATAGTTATGTATTTGTTTTTGGCTGCTTTGGGTCTTAGTTGCAGCATGCGGGATTGAACCCACATCCCCTGCATTGGAAGGCAGATTCTTAACCACTGGACCACCAGGGAAGTCCCTCCACTGTGTACTGACACTTCACTTTTGTCAAGATAAGGACCAAAACCCTTGACCTGGCATTCTGAGACTTTGTCAACTGTGACATGGTCCTTCCTATCACAGCCCTTTTCACATGTTCTTCCCTTATCCGAGAGCTCTCAGCTCAACCCTCTCTCAGGGAAACCTTCCTGAAGGCTTCCCCTTGATCAATGTAGCCAATGAATCTCCATGTGTAGCCATGTCACTCACCATACCTCCCCTGCCACTCATCTAGGTTGTAACCTTGTATTTGTTTGTAAATGTATTTCTTGAATAGTTGGCGCCTCACTAAACTGCAAGTTCCACAGGATGAAGTAGTATGTCTATTTCACCCACCATTATGGTCCTAATGTCTTCCCAAGTACGTGCCTATAGTAGGCTAGGCATTCAATACAAACAAATGGATGGTGCCAGTAAAAGCAAATTGTGAGTGATGAACTCAGCAACACTGTCATTTCCAGAACACATCTCACATATGTTCTCAGTAACATTTGAGAAATCAGGCCAAAATACAGTATGCAGGAGCAAAGAGGGATAATACATATGTTTTTTTGCAGATAGAAATGGTATGCTACAAAAACTATGAAATAATTAAGGAGATAGCAATCTCTGTAAAATCATAAAATAAATTGCAAATAAGATGTTTGAGAACATTTTCAAAAAGAGATTGGTAATTAGCATAGATTTACTAAAAGCTAGTTATCAAACTAATGGCCTTTTCTTTGATCTGACATTGTTTTAATAGGTCTTGAAAGATCAGATACTTAAATTTAAATAAGACTTTGAAAAAAAGATTTTTTTGGACAAGACTGTGCCATGTGGAATAAGTTTCATGATCCTTAAAAAAAGTTTCTACAAGACTGTAATATGTAAAGTTTGATAAAAAGTAAGCTCTCCAATGGAAAGTCATCCTTTACATCCATTTACCAGGGACTAAACTGAATAAATGCATAGAAGGAAAATGTACACATTCTAATAAAAAGCTGGTGCCCAAACTCTCCTGCATAAAATAAATTTATCAAGAAAAAAGAATGTGGGATCTGACCTGCACAGTCCTAGAGAACAATCAAAACAAACAAGAGTTGAAACTGAAACTAGCAGACAGACTAATTCCAAACGAGGCTTCAATCCCATTGACAAAAAAGCACTTGGAGGAAAGAAATCCTGTACAGAAATATTTATTGCAATATTATTTAGAGCAGGAAAGTAACTGGAGTCTACCCGACCAACAAAAAGAGAATAGTAGTAAGTAGGCTCCTCATCATTAACAACAGCAAAAATACCATCCCTGAGAAAAAACTCACTGAAAAAAATGATGTAGATAATATTGTCATAATTGTATCCGTGTGAGTGTGTTACGCATATACGTGTATAGATAGAATTTACAAAAGATTGGTGGTCAAAATACTAAAAATACTTATTTCTAGGTATTGAGATTTTAGGTAACTTTTACTTCCTTTTCCTTGCCCTATGTATTTATATTGCAATAATCATGAACCATTTATAAAGTCATAAAAATAAATTTCACTTTTTAAAATTATAACAATAAAATAACAAAAGCAATCATAAAAATGAAATTTATATCACTCAGTTATTCTAAATTAAAGTAGGCCTATAAATAAATAAATAAATAAATAAATAAATAAAAAATAAAGTAGACCTATAGATAAAATCATGTTGAAGCATCATTATGAAAACTGGAAGAACCATATCAAACAATGGAAATAATGAAGTTAAATATGGAAAATTAATAATATGCAGCCCCAGCCACTCTTCACAGCGCGCTTATTTATGGTGAATAAATACCTCTCCTAAAGGTAAGAAAAGAGCTGCTGAAAATGTCAGAACTGCTTTGGCCACAGAGGTGGAGGTCAGGCGGTGAATATGTTAACCGGAAGAATCAAGCACCTGGTAAACATGCGAAAGTAACAGGGTCACCACACGGGGCAGAATTCATATGAAAGACTTGTGGGTCACAGCTCAAGGTGAACTCGGGTTGCCAGAGCTCCAAACACAGAAGGCAAGCTAGTATTGTATTAACGAAAGTGTAAGATCCTAAACCAGGGAGGAAAATTATGACACTCGCCTAACCATAACAAACACTAAGCAATGAGTACTACCTGTGGTTCTGGGTCCACGTTTTGAAAGACAGACAAAATTTAGCATGTGACCAGGATACTGAAGCATAGGAGAGTCTTGACAATATATTAGGAACATTTTCCAATAGCCAAATCCTTTCAAAACTCAGGTATACTTTACACTAACTGTCGGGGTGTGGACGAGAGAACTAAATGTTGAGCCTTTGAGAGAATGGAAGTTAAGAGCCTTTCCATCTGACACACACGGGCTGAGGCAGAAGCGGCTTTCCGTCTATCAACATTCGTTCTCCCCTTCCATGGTACAGAGCTGGATGCAAAAAGCGACTCTTCATCAAAAGGCCACATTTCTCAGGCTTTGTGTCAAGGTATGACATGTGACCGATTCTCAAATGAGATCTGAGTATGAAATACAAGTAAGAGTGACGCTCCTCATTTGTCGGCCAATAATTTTAACAACTGTATGTGCCTTCTCCGATGCTCTCTTCATCTTTCTGAAAGCTGACTGCGAAGGATTCTAGGGTCTTAGGACAGCACATAGCCACAGAATGAAAGTGGCTTGCATATATAATATTGAACTTACCATGTTATAGTGTGTGTGTGTGTGTGTGTGTGTGTGAGTGTGTGTGTCACCATATGGAGAAGTATACTGACTAAGAGCACCAGCATTAGACTCTAGTAAACAAAGAAATTCTTTTGAATTTTGGGGTTTACATGTTACAATACTTGGAGATGCTTTAATCTATACTATAACGAATGTATATGAGAGAAGAAAAGGTCTACATTATGATATTCAATCTTATTGGTCATCAGATATTTAAAAATACTGTGAAAATTATATTCCTTCTTTGAATAGTTGTTACCCTAAAGAAGAAATACCCTTTAAAATTGGAATGTCATCTCAACACACTTGTTGCTCTATTAGGCACTGATTTTAAATGTAAATCCAAGTACCATAAAATATAAGACATTTACATGCTTCTTACTTTTGTCTTTATCATTTGATGTTGAAAATTAATAATCACTTCAACAACTTTTAAAGTGGGAAAGGATGCGTG